ATATCTTAAGAAAAATAGAATTTTTTAAAAGAAACTTCTAAAAATTATTAAATCATATATAAAAATAGATAAAATATTAAAAAAAAAAAATAGTATTTATTTTTATATTACTGACTTCAAGCTGTTAAGAAAAAAAAAGTCCCTAAAAAAGGACCTCTTAGGGGGCATGAAATGTGAAAAAGGACACTCGTAAACTTTGCACCTCACTTGCTAATGTGGCAGCTTAGAGGGAAAGAGACGGCCTCAGAGACAAACGAGCTAGACGGGGCGAGTGTGTAAAAGATGCTTTCAACATATATTCCAAGGATCTCAAAGTTTTCCTCCCTCCCAAAATTACCTTATTTTTTATGGTTTTCTTTGCCATTTTTTTGTTGTGGTTTTTATAGTTTAATATTAAGAATGTTTCTTGTAAGAAGGTTAGAGTAATAATAATAATAACAAAAATAGAAAGGATTTTTTTGGAAAAGAAGTAAGCTTTTTCAGCAAAGTAATGATGTGATAATTTTTTAAGTTTATTTAATTAAAAGTTTTTAGGAATTTTGGGGCTTAAATGTAGTACATCTGAGGAAATTTTGTAAAATAACTTTCTACTTCAAGAAATCTTTAAAGGCCCTAAAAAGTATGCTACGTTTTTTAATAAAGATTTTCTCAGCCTTCAAATTTAGTCTATTTTGGAGCTCCTCTTGAACTCCCTAGAAAATAGAAAGCAAAAAACAACTCTCCAAAAATATCCCCAAAAAAGCACCATGATGGAGGACCCCAACAGGACGAAGGACGAATCCCAACGGAATCCCTGTGGTCGATTTTAGAAATGCATAAATTACGGCCAGTAATTGAATTAAAATCAATTTTTGCATTCGTGCGCACAGAATGCATTTAGTCCGGTGGATCAGATGCAGCTGCTCCGGATTCGGAAAATTCCGGATCCGGGTCTAGAGCACAGAGTACAGTAACTGGGTTTATAGAGGTCTCCGGGTCCGGGTCCGGCTTCCTGACTTTTTTTTCCCGGTCGCCTCTATTTTGTGCATTTGACGCACTTTTTGGACGACGGTGGTGTGGTGGTTTTTGGCTCTCGGTGGAGCGGTGAAGCGTCGATAACAAACAAGCAAACAACATCATCAATAGACTGGTCAACCGAAGGACTCTCCAGCCACGCCCTCCCATCCCTTGTGCCTCCCCATCCACTGGGTAGCCTTTTAGCCGGGCCCTCGTCCTCCCACTTCCACGCATCCATTCACGCATTTTCCCAAAAAAAAAACTAACAAACACTGAGGGAAATTATTAGAAATTTTAATATAAATATATATTTTTTTTTTTATTTAATATTTTGTTAATTAGAAAAGATGATTAGATATTATTTTACGGGGTATGAATATTTATAGAACTAATAACATGAGTATTAAAGTACTGGGTATGAATTTTGTAAGGATTGTAAAGATCTATTTTAGCAAGTACGGGGTATGAATATTTTATACAAATATTATAAAAAGTACCGAATATTAATACTAAGAAAAAATAATAATAATAAGTATCGGGTATAAATATTTATAGAGATATTCACAAAAATACTACTTAAGTGCTGGGTATAAGTATATGTATATGGACTATATCTGAACTTATAGAAAGTACTGGGTATAAATATTCAAAAGATCTATTATAAAATGTATCGGGTATAAATATTTAAAGATCTATATTTTATAAGAAGTACCGGGTATAAATATTTAAAGATTTATTTTAACAAGTACCGAGTATGGCTTTTTAGGAAACTTAAAAAAAAAGGAAAAAGCAAAAAAGGAAAAAAAAATTTAACAAGAAAGCAAAGCTAACTTCGGGCGGAGCCGAAGTTGATATACCCTTGCAGCTAAAACCGGATATATATTGCAAACATCGGATATAGTTGGCCGATCCTTATGATTACATCATAATAAAACCAATCAATTACACTAAAAAATCGAAAAAAAAGTCCCAAGCTTCTATCTTCAAAAATACAAAAGTTGATATTTCTACCAAATACCATTTCCGATCGTTCAGTTATATTGCAGCTATAGGATATAGTCGGCCGATCCTAATGAAATTTTGTAGGTCGGATTAACTGACCAAAAATAGAATGTGTACCAAGTTCCAGCTTTCTATCTTCAAAAACACGAATGTTGGGTCATTTCCGATCGTTCAGTTATATGGCAGCTATAAGATATAGTCGTCCGATCCATATGAAATTTGGAATGTCGTATTATTTTGCCAAAAATAGCTCTCATGTCAATTTTTAGCCCTCTAACTCTAAAAACACCAAAGTTATACCATTTCCGATCAATCAGTTATATGGCAGCTATAGGATATAGTTGGCCGATCCTTATGAAATTTGGAAGGTTGGATCAACTGACCAAAAATAGAATCTGTATTAAATTTCAGCTTTCTATCTTCAAAAACACAAAAGTTGGGTCATTTCCGATCGTTCAGTTATATGGCAGCTATAGGATATAGTCGGCCGATCCTTATAAAATTTGGCATGTCGTAATTTTTTGCCAAAAATAGCTCTCATGTCAAATTTGAACTCTCTAACTCTAAAAACACCAAAGTTATACCATTTCCGATCAATCAGTTATATGGCAGCTATAGGATATAGTCGGCCGATCCCGGCCGTTCCGACTTATATACTGCGTGCAAAGGAAAGAAGGGTGTGTGCAAAGTTTCAAGACGATAGCTTCAAAACTGAGAGACTAGTTCGCGTAGAAACGGACAGACAGACAGACGGACAGACGGACAGACGGACAGACGGACATGCTCATATCAACTCAGGAGGTGATCCTGATCAAGAATATATATACTTTATAGGGTCGGAGATGTCTCCTTCACTGCGTTGCACACTTTTGACCAAAATTATAATACCCTCTGCAAGGGTATAAAAATACAGAATAGTTTTTAATTTCCAAAAAATATGACAAACAACCGAAAAAATCTTGAAAAAAAATCCTATTCACCCAAATTTTCTCTCCGTGCCTCTAACCAACAACCAGCATTCATTTTTCAGGCCAAACTTTGACAAATTGCTGCTGGCGAAGCTCAAAATCGAGCTGGCGGAAGGGAGATACCTATCTCTACCCATACATACATACATATGGCAGGTCCCTGGCAGGTCCTCCCTGGCATGTCCTGGTGGGTAAAACTCCTAACCAGGGTGGCGGGGAATGACCTGAACATCATCACATCACTGTGGCTAATTATTACATTTTTACCTTGACCACGCCCTGCAGGCCCTGCAAAACTACTACTAGAGGGGAGGGAGGGAAGCCACTTTGACAGTCGCTGATAAATCAATGTCAAAAAGTGGGCGAAAGGACTAAAGGACGAAAGGACGAAGGCCACTGGCAGGATGGCATGGCATGGCAGGATTAGTAGCGTTGACTAACGAATGAACACGAGTGCATTATGTATGTATGGGGCCCGGTGTGAGCTAATTTGATTGAAACATACATAATTATACAACTAAGTTACGGGTTTTACGGGTTTACAATGGCTCCCCCAATCACCCATTTGCCCCATCATCAAAGTCGAGAGGATGAAAAGGATAGCACGGGGATTAGATGGCCTCAAATGAGTATCCGGACTGTAAGCTCCATGACTCCCCGAGACAAAATCAAATTGCGTGTTTAGATTTACACATGGATTTTGATCCAAAAGTGAATTGTTTTTGGAAGTCATTCATGGATATTTTGGGTTGGTTTTTTGGGAGTATTTATTGTAGGATTTATAAATGTTTTTAGGAGAAAGTAAGAGCTTAAGAGCTTCTTATCCGTTAGTTGTTAGACCCCTTTTTCAACTAATTTAAGAGTTTAAAATCTAATTGGTTTAACTTTACTTTCAACTTTTGTAAATCTACAACTTTTTAAAGCATTTCTCATCAGATATACTCAGATATACCCTCAGATATACCCATGAATCTCTCCTTGTCCTCGTGTCCGTGTGTCCGTTAATTGATTTTCTAACCGATTTAAGAGTTTAAAAGCAAATCGGCCTACCTAAACCTTAAAATCCTGTAAACCTTTAACTTTTTATGGCATATCTTAGTAGATAATACCCATAATAAACCTCTCCTTGTCCGCTTGTCCGTCTGTCCGCTAGTTTGTATATTATTTCCTACTAACTTCTTGAAAAAAAAAAAAACAAAATTTTCTAAAATTCTTATATAATTTAGTGAATATATCCCATAATACACACTAATATCCCTTAATATAATATCCTAATATCCAATACAAACTTTATAGTGTCCGCATGTCCGTTATTTCAGAAATTTTAGACTTATAACATGTTACAGAAAACCCCTTAAAAATCTAAACTTTTCACTTTTTTAAGAAAATAAATCGTATCTCATAATACATACGCGGTCATCCCTAAATATAGTATCCATTGTGAACCAAATCCTGTGCATTTGTCCGCCTCTCCGTTATTTTATATATTTTTTTTTAAGGAAACCCCTAAATAATCTCAACTTTTCACTGGTTTGGTAAAAATTTTATATCCATGAATACATTTGAATTGAATTTGAATATCCATTGTGAACCATATCCTGTCCGTTTGTCCGTCTGTACGTTATTTTATAAATAATTTTTAAAGAAAACCCTAAATAATCTCAACTTTACACTTTATTTTGGCAAATATGTTTAATTTTTTAATAAATACTCCTATATCCCTAAAAATATTACACATTATAATAATCATATCTTGTCCGCATATCCGTCTGTCCATTGGTAGCCACTATTATCAGTATTATTGTCTTAAAACATCCTAAGAAAAACCCCAAATAATCATACATTTTCACAAACTTTAGCAAATATAATCCACGATATATATTTTCCCCAAATATAATATTCCCCAAAAATATTATAAATATGTCTATAATTTTTTGACAACCCTAACAAAAAGAAAAACCCAAAAACCCAGCAACCCAGCAACCCAGAATACAAAAATATATCGAAGGAATCCCATCAACAGGCCCTGTTTATTCTGTCAAATATTTGGAAGCATTCGAAATTGTAGAACAAATTCATTTTTACCTGGCATTAACGTAAGTGATACAAAATAATTTTCGTGTGTGTTTTTTTTTTTTTTCTAAAAAGACAGACAAATCATTTGAAAAAACACCGGCATGTTTTAGTACGCGGTAGTCGGAATCTATTTCTATATATTTATTTTTTTTTTCGTCAAATTTCTTTCACGCCCCGCTCCGTTTTAAAAATTAAATCAAAATATTTTGTGTAAAAGGCAGGAAAAATAAAAATTCAAAGATCCATCAAATCAAACGTTTTCGGTTCAGTTTAGCTAAAAAAAAATTCAACAAAATTGTTCGCGACCATATACGACCGTGAGTGTGAAGTAATCGCCGATCTCCGCAAGCACGCAGATAAAGTAGGACCACGTCAGGACTACTCCAGGCAGGACCCAACACTCTCTCTATTGATCGCGAATTGTGAGAACCTTTCCATCTCATAATCCTTCAGGCCGTCCAGGACACACAAACACACTCAAACACACACACGAAGACACAGATAGACAAATTTTTTTCATTTTTCGATACAATCGTTCGTGTATCGAATTATCCAAAATTGTAATCCTCTGAGGAGTCATCTGAGCCAGTACTAGCAGAAGCAGCAGCAGGACTAGCAGTATGAAGCCCGAACAGCTGAATCGCTTGATGCGAGCCAAGGGCCAAGTGCAACCCTGGTTTCTAAGGAACACCACTGAGCTTTATGAGTGCGCCATAAGGACCTACTATGAGCGCAGCTCGGCCGCTATTCCTTATTCTGCACGTGAGTATCTTTTTATCTTTTTTTAATATTTCTAGAAGCTATTTATATTCTTATAGTGGTTATGGTTTTTGTAGAAATATTAAATATTTTTATCTTTTATTTAAAAGATCTCTAGAATGAAGAGAAAACTGTCCGCGTGTCAGTGTATCCGATTTTATTAACTTTTCTTTAGCTATTTGGATATATTTAAGAAAATACTTTCAATTTTGGTATCAAAACCTATTATTTTTTATATAGACTTCATGGATAGATATGAGAGACCCTAGTCCTTGTTGACAGACCCATGAACAGTGTTCTGTTCTGAACAGTCCATGTGTCCTTTTTTCCGTTATTAGTAACTTTTTTAGTTACTATTACTATTATGGTATATTAAATATTTATTAATATACTTATAGTCTTTATAGTTGACAGGTTAAACCTTATATATTTGATCTGAGACGTCTTTATTACAGATAGATAGATAATAAGAGAGCCCTGTCCGTGTCCGTGTGTCCGTATGCCCATTACTAGTTACTCTTTTAGTTATTATTTGTATATACATATATGTATAAATATGATCCCAGTGTCTTAAGCTTGGTTATCTAGGTCTCAGGTTTTGGTCTGAGAAATCTCCATAATACATATACAGATACGTATAACAGATCCCTGTCCGCGTATCCCCATGTCCACCAATTGGTTTCTTGACCAAGAAACTCCTCCAGCTTTCAAGCTATCAAAACCAAACTTTGGACCCAGTCTTTTAAACCTTAAACTTATCTTTCCCCGATAGTTTTTTAAACCTCTAATCCCCCTAAAATTTAATAATTTACTTTATTAATTAATTCTATATCCTTATTCCAGATAATCGCAATGCCCGCCTACGTCTTGAGAATGCCGGACCCGTTCGAAAGCTAAAAAGAGCCCATCCCGAGCCCACCGCCCCGGACAACTACCCGCATAATCATCGCCTGCAGACGGATCTGGCGACCAATGCCAATTCCAATAAGCTCCTCAATACCGTCCTCCAGGCGACGCGTCGCCGTTCCATGTCCTATTCGGTGGGCACATCTCGGCCTGGAGCCGGCGGTGGTAGTGGTGTCAGTGGTGGTGCCGCCGCCACCGCTGCCCAGCCGTACAGCGTTTACGGCAAATCGGTGTTGAGTGGCAGCAGTTCCAGCTGCTCGACCGCCACCAGCAGCAGTGGCACCTCGCACGACGGTTTTCCAGGTCATTTCGGGCGGCGTACCTTCCTTAAGACGCCATCTTCCTCCAAGAAGTCCAAGAAATCCAAGAAGCAGCAACCGACCACATCGGAGAAGCCCACACAGGGACTGTTTAGTTCGGGACGTTCGTTTAGCCTGCCACCGCGACCCACTATTCGGGGTATGGACACCAGTGTGGCACGTCCCATGCCGCCCAACACGAAGCATCATTTGGAGGCCATGCAGAAGAATGCACAGGTAAGTTATCCTTTCAAGGCTTTTAATCCTTAAATATTAATTATAATATCCTTTAAAGGTAAACTTTGCAAGCCTTCCGCGAAGCGAGGGCGACAACCTCATGGTGGTGGATGCCGCTCTGAAACGTCGTATTTCCGTTGTACCCTACGATGATGAGACACCACAGCCCCGGGGGTATTCCAACCGATTGCGAAATGATGGTGGAAATACATGGAAAACGGCCAGACGCCATAGAGGCAACGAGAGCGGAAACAGTGATGGGAACAGCGAGATCGTCAGCCAATCGTCGGAGGTGCGATATCGCTTCCAGACATTGGCCGATCGGATCAAGCAGTTCGAATATATTCAGTTTGCGGACGGACCCGTTACCAGTTTCGCCTTCGATCGCCGCCAGAAGATGCCAGCTACCAGGAAGAAGGCTAAGAAGGCAAGCCGGATACCGGATACCGAGTCCGAAGTACCAAACACAACATCATCATCATCATCCGTAGCACCGATGCGTCGCAAAAAAATGGATGAACAGCCACGACAACTGGGCTACAATAATGTCCTTCATTCGAATCATCGTCAAAGGAGTCGTAGCTTGGAAATGGAGCCACCCTTGATGGAATCGATTGGTCTTTTGAATACTCTCGAAAAAAGCCCAAAACCAACCACTGCAAGTCCTCGTGGCTCCAGTGTGGATAGTCCGGGCCGATCATTTTTCCGGCCAGCCATCACATCCACTTGGGCAGCTGCTTATGCCGCTAGAAATGCAGGTAAGATTCTAATTTTAATAATAATAATTATATTTTTTAAATATTTAATATTTTTCTTTATAAAAATTCCTATAAAACTAGAAAATGGTGGTTCAACGAAGGATTCAGGTATAATTTTGCATGCAATTCCCAATTATTTTTCGATAAACAAATTCTTGATATCCTTATGCACTGCACCTTTTAAGATGTTAAACCAGAAACCGCAGTGAGAATACCATCGACTTTTACCGCAAAAAACTATAAAAAAAAATACATTTCACGCAAAAGTTTGGGCGTCAGTCGGCCAGGTAGTTCCGGAAAAATACGACCCCAAACTCCAACATACACAGTCCCACTACCACCCGGTCATGCATCATCCCATCCACCTGGCACTGTATCTAAGGCACTAGAACCGGAGGCAAGTACTTCTGAGGAAATCGATTGGAGAAAGAAACCCAAGACTAGTAGTGGTGCGAATACCAAGAATAATAATTGGACAATTGGTTATAAGGCCGATTATGGAAATAAATCCACGGGAGCGGCAGGACCCTCAACCACTTGGGCAGGGATTACCAAAAACGTCAACCTGAGTCCTGGTTTCAGGGCGGAAGAATATGCAACCGGCACGACTCTGAAGAACAGCTACCGTTCATCCACCGCCGGGTCAGCTTCCGCCTCCAAACGTGCCGCCACAGCACCGACCACAGCCCGAGGAAAGGCCACCACCGCGAATCCTTCCATAAAACCACCAGCATTCACACCACCTTTGGATCTAAAAAATACCAACCCATCGCCAGTACGACGTTTCCAAATGCAACAGCAAGGAAGCCTTGAAGAAGCCAGAAAGGATACAGACATCATGACGAAGACGAAACCCACGCGTTCCGCCCATCTCCCAGAGAAGTCGGTGGGCCAGTCAATGGAACAGGAAATGGCCTCCATGGTCAGGGCGAATGTGTATAGTCGCACCAGTCACAGGGCCCATGCCCAGCTACTGCCACAGGATACTCCAAATCCAAATCCCACTGCCAAGATATCGAAAAAGCCACCCGGCCATTCATCGCAAGTTGTAAGGAAACGGGAAGATGAAAAGGATATCACGGCCGATAGGAAGGCGGAAAAACGTGATCAGGAGGTTCAAATCCAGAACGAAGTGCGGGAATCGTCAGAGGTTGCATCCACACCTTCATATGTATCGGGCACGCCACTGGGCAAGCAGCCCGTCTATCCAAAAGGAGCCAATCAGCTGCTGGTTGCAAGTGCCACTCAGGTGGGAAATAATTTTAATTTTTTGGAAATTAATTATTGTCTATTTTGGGGTTTTCTTCTTAAGATCCTTTTCTTCCATAATCCCTATTCTATGATAATTGATCCCTGTGATTTTTTTATCCTTTTCTACAAACAGTAGGCATTTTTATGAAGTCTTTCCTATAAGACTTGCTTTTTAAAAATGATTTGTTTAATATTTAAAAAGTTTTTGATTATGCAGTTCAAATACTAAAAAAAATACCAACTTTCCTTAAGAAACCATTAAGTATAAGTGGTATTTTTCTTCAAGAACTTTTCCTATTCATTTTTATCATTTCTTGTGATATTTTGTTTGAAAATGAATATTTAAATTAATTTATATTATGAAACTTTAACTCAACTCAACATGGTTAAGGAAAAATACTAAAAAAATACATGAAAAACCCTAAATTAGAGCAGATTAAGGACATTTATTTAAAGATGCATTCAATTACTACAAAATAATAGTTTTTTTGGAAGCTACACTGCGTATGCGTAATATTTATCTTTAAGAAGTTTCCCTCCTTATGTTGTTGCCCTTTTTTCTATAATTTAATTTCAAAAATATTATTTTAATCAGTTCTATCAGAAAAACCTCACCTTTATAACAATTTTTTACGGTTTTTCATAGTATTTTTTAAAGATTACTTTCTGCTTGATGATAGATCATGACCCCTAAAACAATATGACTTAAAATTACGTATACGCACGGTAGTACAACAAGATGCATAGACTTCTTTAGTTCTAGTTTCTCCCGAGAAGCTCATAACATTTTATTTCATTTCCATAGATGGATAAATATAAATATATATATTTTTTAAAATCCTACTCAATTCTTTTATATTTTTTTTTATTTGGTAACCCCTTTAGGTGTCGGCCTACAAGCGTGCCTTCCGCAGCCAGCAGCAGATGCTCAAGGCGGAGATGCTGAACCAGCAGGCCAAGCTCCTGCAGCAGGAGGACAACCCTCAAGCTAACTACCCGCCTTCGACTTCCCATCCCAAGGCCATGCCCACGCCATCGCCAGTGGTGGCCACTGGAAAGTTCAGGTCCGGTGAGGCGGCAAATGGTGGTTTGCCGTTAACGGCGCCGCCACTTCAAAGCCACCGGGCACCACCGCTACCCACTGGCCGGGCTGGAGTTCGTCCCATTGCCCGGAGGAATGGTGTTGGGGAGAGTAGCCGTGGCATGGCCATTCGTCATTCCAGGCGTGACATGGGAGGCGCTGCAACCACCTATCTGAGAAGCAGGGAGAGTGGCTCGACAGGACTACGGATTAAGGCAGATGGTAGGCTTGAAATATATTTTGCAATACTGTTTTTGCTTTTTAACACTGACATGCTTTATAAAAACTTTCTAAGCACTTTTTAACACTAAAACCAACATGGTCATACTTTATATTCATTTTCCAACACTGAACTATACATTCTTAAATGTTCTAAGCCCTTTCCAACACTAAAACCAACTGTTACTTACAGCCACTTCCATAACAGAGCCCGCACAAGCGATAAGACGCCGTTTTCCAACACTTACGCCGCCCACCTACCGATCACTTCCGGACTCAACAACAACAACAACAATGGGCCGGACAGCAGTGCCACAACTGAAAATAACAACAAAGACAAAAACAAGAGGGAGCAAGCAATCAATTAACGCGGCAAAGGAGAGAGACCACCAACAAGAGAGAACCAAACAGCAGGATAACCGTAATTGGGATCGCTATCGAGAGGGAGCACGAGCCAGAATAGCGGGAGACATGGCCATAGCCAGTGCTGCGGCCGCCACAACATATTCTTCAACAAGGCCCAGACGAACAAAGATGGCGCTGACAGCGCAGCAGCCGCAGCATTATCATTTGCGCCATGATAACGGTACTAGTAGTGCGCTTCTTGGCTTCCGGCGTGAAACGCCAAGCCGTGCAGCGTCAAGGCTGCTGCAGCGACGCGAAGATTCTGGCTTGCAGTCGCGCTCACAGTCGCAGTCGTCGTCGCATCTGCAGCAGCAGCAGTCGCAGTCGCAGCGCCGTCAATTCCATTACACCGTTAATCCTCCCTGGCGTCCCCTTTACTAAAGACGATGGTGGACAATAACCATCGTATTCCTATAATTATTTGGGGAGATAAGCAAGAAAACAAGAAAAATAATGAAAAACTAAGAAAAGAGAAAGCAATATCAAAAATTTAGAAATCTTCAGGGTTGCCCGTAAACACTGCTGCTCAACTGGGCTTGTGGAAACCAAAAATTTTCCTTGTGTTTTTGTACTGAGTGTGTTTTGTAATAATGCCGTAACATTCAGATACGTAACACGTACGTGTGGACACAAGTACATATATGCAGAGAGTAACAGAGTGTAATGAATTGTAAATTTACCGTTAGCATAAATTAACAAAATAAAAGTGATAATTATAAGAAATTTTGAAGTTTTATGATAGTTTTTCAACACTTATTTGTATTAAAAAGGGATCTGGTCACACTAAATAGACTTAATAACTAAAAAGATCATGCTTGAAAGCAATATTTTGCATAATTTTGACCATAATTTGCAAAAATATACACGAACTGAACAAATATCGGTCATAAAATATCTAAAATTAATAATTTTATAAAAACTATTTGTATTAAAAACTGATCTGGTCACATTTAACAGGTCAATAACTACAAAGACCACTTAGAAACAAAATTTTAAATTTTTTTACCATTATTTTTAAAGATATTCAAAAGCTGAACAAATATCGCTCATAAAATATCTGAAATTTAATTATTTTATAAAGACCTGGTCATACTTAAAGCCTCACTCACTCACTAAAATGTTTATACTGTTAACCAACATTGTACTATTTTTCTAACCTCTCTCTCTAATTTGCATAACATTTTCAACCAAAGAAATAAAAAAGCAAAAACCGATAACAATTTAAAACCAAATTTTAGCAAAAAAGAAAAAAAACAGAGATAGAACTAATGGTTAAAACGAGATAGACAGACAGACCGACTAAAATGCAACGGTAAACAAAATTCGAAAAGTGGACAACAGAAAATTGGTTGCCGCGTTGCTAATACAAGTGGTGCGGGTTAGTACTAGTAATGGTGACCCACAGTTCGATACTAATTTCAATACACCACAACATTCCGTACCACACCACACTAAACCAAAACAACAACAACACTAACAATAGTAAAAACCGAAACAGACAAACAAGACAGAAGAGAGGAGGAGACTCATAGGCAAACGCAACCTACTTCTCCCACTATTTCCCGTATCAACAACACAGCATTAATTTTTCATGCAGATTTAACCGTTACATGACAGGACCAACAAACGTTGGCGAAGGGACAGTGGAAAGGAAATGAATTTCAAAGAAGAATACAAAGTTTGAATAAAGAAAGAAAGAGAAGCCAACAGGGCGTATGAGTAATAAAAATAATCACTCATACGCAAGCGAGAGTACGCTTTGTGAAGAATTCCAACTTTGGTCACACTTTTCAAGAAAACCGTATAGTTTTTAAAGGAATTAAATTAATTTAATAATAAGAATAAATTTATAACTATTTTATTTTTTAAATTATTTTCTTAATCGTTTCACAAACCACTTTGGTCACACTGTGCTCATGCACATCAATGTCAAACTGGCAAGATAAGCGTCGACAACAACAATAAAGAACCTAAAGAAACGCAGGAGACAGCCCAGGATAGTCTCAAAAAAAAAAAAAAAAGAAGAGGGAGCAAGGAAAAAAAATAAAAAAATATATATAGCATCCCCTCGAAAGGAAAAAAAAAAGAAGAAGAACAGTTGCGACAAGAAGACGGCAGTTGGGAAGTAAGATTTTGGGGGGTGGGGGATGGTTGGTGGATTTGGTTGGTTTTTGGCTTGTTGTCAGACCAGCGAATTGTTGCCGCGTTCTTTGATAAATGATGATGCGTGCCACATGACTGGCCATATCCAGGACTTCAGGACGCAGTCCAAGACAACAGAGAACCAAAGAACCAGAGTGACAGACAAATAGGCTCAGTTTAACGTTTGAACTGAAACTTTCCGACTCGCCGACTGGACTGTCTGGGCCAAAAAAAGATTGACAGTTTAACAATGTTGGTAAATACCAACAGAAAAATAGGAAAAAAATTTAAAGAAAACCAAGCTAGTTTTTAAAACGATTGAGAAAGTAATAGTTTTATTTGAAATTAAATGGTAAGCTTTTAAGTTGGCTTTTAAGGGCTTTGTATATTTATTATTATTATCGAATTAGTTAATTTATTTTTTAAGCTATAATTTTTCCCTTAAAAGTGTGACCAAATTTCCAAGTTTTCACAAAGTTACTCTCTCTTGCATTTGAGTGATTAATTTTATTACTCATACGCCTTGTTGGTTTCCTTGATTTTTTTTTTTTTAAGTTTCAGAGCCTTATCTCTAAAGTTAAGAGACTAACTACTACTATAGCTATTTAGTATATACCTTTAACTAAAATTCCTCTATATATTTCCACTACATTTACATTGAGCACTTGCTCTGGTTTTCTAAATTGGTTTCGATTCAAAACAAAAGCCAATTTCCATTGGCATAAATAAATAAAAATCAAATTAAATTAATTCCAACACAAAGTGGCATATCCTGGGTGCCCTTTTTTTCCTTCTTTTTGGCAACAAAAGAGCATCGGAGCAGTAACCGGGGTATAACATACATAAAAGGCAATAAAATTAAATCAAATCAAATTAAATGCGCATATGTATGGCATTTTATGAGCTGCGCATTGCCCTTTTCCCTAAAAACCAAAAGAAGAAAAGGAATATAGAAGGTTAGTTAGTAAAAGTGAAAGGATTAAAGCGAAAAACCACACAAAAGGATACTTGGCAAGGGGGCCGCCACAACCGCAACCTATCCCAGCACCAATTCAAGATGCTTTCAGATGGGTCTATTTTACACTCTTTTTTTTATGAAAAAGGGTATGTTTAATTATTAAGTCTTAAAAAAAATTATATAAAATAATTTAATTTAATTTATAAAATTTTAAAAAAGAAAATATTGTCTCAAAAGGGGTCGAACTCGTTCTTTAAAACCTCTATAAACCTTAATTTTTCTTTAAAAATTTTATGCTTTTATTTAAAATAGAGCATCACACCTTTCATTATTTTTAAAAATTCCTTATTTTGTAGTTCTTTGGCTTTTATTTTTTTTTGTTGGCTCCTTATTTTTGGCAATAAAATAAATCCACCGCAAAGCCGCTGCGGGTAGATTGCTCGGTTGACCCCAAAAACCAAAAACAACAAAAATTCTATATTTAAGAAAATGTGGAAATGGCAATGAGAATTTTCACACAAAGTAGGAAAAGCAGCATCTGTAGCATCTGTTACGTATACATAATCAGCTAGAAGGTCCTTGGAAATATATACACGGTTGGCTTACGATTCTTGGAGCTAATTCAGTTATGTTGTCTTCCGTTTGGATACTTTTCATCGTTAATGTGTCGGTGTGGGAGTCCCAGAACTATTTCCAGTAAGCAAAAGCATCGAGTGTGCCTGGATTCCTGTACATTGTCGCATCATGTCCGAGTGCCCATTTCCTGGCCAGGATATTCCAACCTACCACCCCATCCTCCCATACGAAATCCGCTATTCTGAGGATTTCTTTGCTAGACTTTCTTGGTGCTTGATACACTGGGAGAATTTCCACTTTTCTTTTGTTTTTTTTTAGAAGATTTCTTAAGAGACGCTGTCGCATAATGTACGGCTCATAAAAGCATAATTTGTCAGAAAAAGCATGCTTTTTTATAATATTTCCCTAAAAAATCACCCAAAGATGCATTTCAAGGTAGGTTTTATAGGGTTTCTAGCTTTCGCTCTATCGCACTATATCTTATATTGTTTATTTTTGAAAAAATTCTTTATAGACGCTGCCACATAATGTACGGTCCATAAAAGTATGCTACAAAAAGTATAATTTTTAAGAAAAAGCATCCTTTTTTATAATTTTTCTCTAAAAAATCCCACAAAGATGCATAAAATATAGGTATTATAAGGTTTTTAGCTTGATGCCCTTTATCCTTTTTTTTTCTTTCAGTGCACTATCGCTCTATCGCACTCTATCTCTTTGGGCTTCCCTCTCTCCCACTCGTTTTGTGGTCATTTCAAATTTTCATTTCATTTGCCATAAAAAGGAAATTGGTTTCGTATGCCAGTTGACATGGCCCTTTACCACTAACCGGACGATCCAAAAGGGAGGATACCCCTAAAGGGGGTGTGCATGTGTGTGTGTGTGTGTGTGTGGCAGTTAAACACATAACTGCAGCAAACAACAAGCTGAAATACCTGACAAGGGAATGGAGAAATGGCAAGAGCAGTGGCAGTAGCAGTAGCTGAAACTAAAAAGGATAAGGGAAGGATGTCAGGACAAAGCATAAATGCCAGGAGCTGTGTTTAAGCTCCTTGGGCCACTCTATGGGGGGAATTTTTGTGACAGATTCGACCGAAACACAGACCCCAACCAACATGATGGAAAATGCAAGAGGGGCGAGACAGTGGAAGGAAAACAGGGACAGGAAGGATACTGCTGGACTCTCTGTTTGCTTTCTGGGGAGTTTAAGTCCCTAATTAATGAACTGCTTATGACACCCCTTGGTCACTTATTAATGAACTGCTTTCCAACGAGGTCTTTTTTTTTTAGGAAATAAAACCCAGGACACACTTTAGAAGCAAGTGATGCACCTACGTAGCATCCTCGTATATTTAAGATGAAAAGTTTCTTCTTTTTTTTATGGTTTTCTATGAATTTTTTGGTAGGCGGCACAATGAATTCCTAATTTTATGTTAAAATATATGGTTAAAACTTTAAATTAAAGGTGATTCGTTTAAATATTTAAATATTCAAAAATCAGGGGATGGTTTTGTGAAGAAAAATATAAGATTTATGATAGAAAATCTTTGTATGAATTAAAATAATTATGTATTAAAACAATATAATAATAATATTTGCAAATAAATATTTCAACTTACATGCTTTACTGTACTTTCATAAACATTTTGCCTTCAACCGTACTTCTATTTATTCGCTCTCTGTTTTTTTTATTAGCGGTACTTTATATTGGAGACGCTTCTCTTTAAATGATGTTCCATCCCCCTCTTGCACACCTAAG